AAGCAAAAAATAGATGCAGTCGTTTGGAATTATAAAATTTGATAGTTCTTATATAATTTGTAATGATTAAATTGTGTTATCAAATCTAATTATATATTATATGTATTTGTATGTGAATAAATAGTTTTTATAAGAACAATAAACATTTTTTATGTAATATTGCGAAAACACTATAAATTAAAATCAATGAGGAGGAAAATGAAAACAGTGTTGAAGTGTTAAAATTAAAAATATGCATATAATTTATATACAAAGTAACAATAACAATAACATCGAAAATATTATTAATTATATGTACTTATTAGTAATTAATTATATATACTTATTAATAATTATAGCAATAATTGTGTTAAATACCAAACATCCATGCGAAATTGTAATAATAACACATGAATTAATTCAATTTATTAATCAATTAATTTACGGCGTTGCTATATTTTTATTTTTAAAATCCTAATTATAATACAATAGCAACAACACTCAATTTTTATTATTTTTTAAATACCATTTAAAATGTGATTTAAGAATAAAACTGACTAATGCACTAAAGATTACCTTAAGGCATGTATTTCATAGCAGAGTTTGTCAACTCCCGACCCGACTCCCGACTCGTTAATATCATCGGTCCGTAATATTTTGTATTTACGCTTTTAATGATAACGTTCTTTGGGAAGGATATTGATACCAGTCCATGCAAAACGCATTGAATATTTTATGGATCACATAATATTATTTCGGTTCGCAGTTTTGGAATACATCGTTAGGAAAACATGTAGTAACCGATGCAGATTTAACTTTCACTGCTATATTTGGAGCCTAATTTCTGTATAGACTGATTTTAGAAAAAAAGGCTACAAAATCAACGAATTACAATTTTTTTGGACAATACATGATTGCTATACTCTTGGCCACAGTTCCAACTACAGTACCATTCGAAGCTATTGAAACAGTACAAAATTTAACTGTGACCTATATCATTGAGTACAATATACTTGATATAGGTTCCAGGGCTCCGAGTAATTCAAATAAAAAAATTGCTGCTGAACTAGCTAAACTAAAATTAGTAGTATTCTCAACAGAGAAACAAAAATTAATCGCATTAAAAAATGTATAGAGTTGAGAGTTTTTAAGAGTTACAAAACACAGGATGACTTGCCAAAAAACCAAACTAACAACTTACTAGGATAGACCAAAAATAAATTGTAAGAACGTATTTGGTATCACCGACGAAAAATACAAACATTGCAAGAGAAATTGGAAAAAAATTTTACATATGTTCTGGCCTAGAAAGATTCAAGCATACAAGTGTGAAAGCTTACAAATGGAGGACCCTAGCACAGATCCCTAATATTATTTTATTTATCGTATATGACAAGTTTTCGAAAGTTACTTTAAAATGATCATTATTGTCAAATTACAACAATCAATTTTTTGTTTTTTAATTAATTGAATTTTTGGATGACCATATAGCTGTTTTGAGTAATAACAAATACTCATCTTCAGTACTTGAACTCTCTAAACTTCTAATAAATATTATGCAGAAATACGTCTTGTTGCATACATGTGCAATGGTGAAGAAAACGATCAACATTCTTTAGAAAGAGCAACACAATTTAATAGGTGTAAAACATGGACTAAACTTCAACAGAGCATAAATTTCTTGATGCTTGTCATCCGGAATTATGTGAATCCCAGCAATAACACCCGCTGAAATGTAAAATTCAAATAATAATAATAATTATAATTATTATAAATTATTATAATATTAATAATAGTAATAATAAAAATAATGATAATAATTAATATTATTATAATAACAATAATTAATATAATATAATAATTATTTACTTCTTATAATATAATTATTATAGTAATAATTATAAATATTTAAAATATTTATTTATTTATGTTTACAGGTACATGTATATACTATGATTCACACTGGGCCCAATTCTCGAGCCGTAATTAATCGATATTATTTATACATTTATTTATTCTTCTCAGTTGTGTAAATTAAACAAATCAATTATCGTTAATTAAGAAAATCGTTTGCAATTTTAATATTAATTAGTTCATATGAACTTGAATATCAGAATTAATTTTTAATTTCAATGAATTATACAATATATTATTTTAAATTATATAAACTATGCTTTGTCTAAAATAATAATAAAAATGTTAACAAACATTAAAAATGTTTAATTTTCAACTTAAATTACATGTCACAAACAGTTATATAGAAATATTGACGTAGAAATATTAAGATGTAATTAACATACATAGCTTAAATATTAACACTTAATTAATAATAATTATCGAAATATATAATTAATTTACTAAAAATTTATATTACTAGTCTTTATTAAATAATTTAAAAAACAATTAAAAAATGTATTATTGCATTATTGTTTAAATTATTTTGTATGTACAGTAATCCCCCATTATAACGCGGTACTCTTATAAAGCGTTTTCATATTAAGCGATTTCAACCTCCCGTATAACACGGGGATTACGGGGATCATAATTAGCTTCGCGTATCTTTGCACGTGGTATACCTTTGTGTATACGGGGTATACGGGAATATCCCTATAACGCGTTTTCCTATAACGCAGAACCAATCTACCGCGTTATAGTGGGGATTACTGTACTTAAATATGCGCGTAGCTATGAAGCTGGTAAAAAAGAGTGTGTCACATTTGAATATCTTTCCTTTATTGAGAGTCTATAACTTTAAACCTGTCTAACTCGAAAAGTAAGCTTTATCGACATGTGGCTTGGACTTGTGATAATAGTTGACTCTTTTAAAAACTACTGTCAACAAATCGGCACGTTCGAAAAATCGGAGTAGCGCCCTTTATTCTAATAATTTTTATTTTTTTAATTTTTTTTTTTGAAACGAAATGAGTTGTTGTATTTATTCAATACTAAGGTAAATGTCAAAAGCTGTAGCAGCAGCAGCAAAATATTCATATTAGAATTTTTTTATCTTTGGATAAATAATTTCTTAACTGCATACACTTGATAAGACATTCTAAATCTATTTTTACGTGATATAAAATTTTATATTTAAATAATAAAAAGGTTATAGTACACATTATGACAAAGAATATTTTTGAGGATTTAAAAACTTAAGAACTATTATTAAATACTATAACATATATTATTAAATTATATTATAATATATTATTAAATTAAATTAAATATTATGTCATATATATAAATATTTATAGTAATATTATATTATATCATATAGATATAAAATAATTTGTTCTTATTATTTTGATTGAAAGCGTATTAAAATACTAATTAATTCATTTTAATGCCATCAATTATTTTCAATTTGAACTCAATTAAATTAATGAATTTTCATATATTTTGTTATTTCTCATGCACATTTTCAAATAATTCTAGTCAATTAAATGAAAATTGTTTTATTAAAATGTTAATGTTCACAAGTAATTAAAAAGATTTATAACTTTATATAAACCATAAAACCATAAAACCAACCATAAAATTGTTAGCGATAAATTTGACAAATAAAATCAGGAAATTAATATTTATATAAAACAGTATTTTTTACTAGTTTTATTTAAAATATTATAATATATTTAAAATAAAAAATGCAATTAATTTACTATTCATATTAATTAAATATATTGTAATTATATTTAATTAAGTAATGAAAATATCATTTTTAAAGTATAAATAAACAAAACTGCATAATATTTTTAAAGACAACATGCAAGAAAGTAATAAAAAATTGATTAAAGTTTAATGAACTTAATTGCTTACTTAGAATTTATTTATGGATGTATATGGTTTTTAAGAATTACTTAGCAAGAATGATATTTTCTTAGAAAATTACAAAATGCAGTTGCAATGTAAAATATATAAACAATTTAATCTAACGATGCTCATGTGATTAGCACATATCTACTGGCACTCTAAGAAAAGAAACCGGAACATCTGTTGTGTCTATGTCTAGGCTTGTAGGACTGTCTAACATATGCCAGTGGGTATATGTTGGTACAACACAAAACAAACTTAGGACGAGAATCGTTAGTTACAAACACGACATAAAAAGCAGATCAATTCCCAATGACCAAAAGACAGCATTAACAACCCATTGGTCTCTTATGAACCATACTCCAAATTTTGAAGATCATCAACAAAGATCCAAATTATAGACGTTGACTAATGCTAGAAATGTTAAATATCATGGAAGTTCCGGATTATCAGAGATTAAGTTACAAAAAAGACAAGACGGTCTTGCACAAATTTGCAAGTCTCTGATCAAAAAGAGACTAATTAATAAATGATCCTATATAATAAAATATATCCTCCATTGTTTGTTCATTCAAAAATTTTCTCTTTTTGATTTTAATTTCAAGTGTTATTATTGTTGTTGTGACTTGAGTTAGTGCTATTGCGCACTTTTACTCTTTTGTGACTGGGGGGCTTATCTCTGCCACACACTAAACTTTAACTATACTAGAATCAATATCATTTATTTGTCTTCTAACTGATGACGGACCGTAGATCAGCATATCTTCCTGTGCGTCCT